CTCCCCGACTGAGCTGGGGCGAGGCTCTGGGTAGGCCCGCTACCCGCTCCTCCAAGGGACGCGAAGGGGAGGGGCCCCGGCTGTGGAAGGGGTGGGCAGCCTCCTAGCAGGTCCTGGTCTCCCCCGCACCCCCAAAGCCCACCGCCTGGAAGCGCTTGGAGATGTCCCATGGGAGGATGCGTTACTCCCACAGGACTCTCCCCTTTACTGCCACACCCCTTGCCCTGGGGGCCCCTTCCCCCAAGAAGCCTCGGCCTGGGTGCCAGACCTTCTGGGGAGGAAACGGCTCCCTGCCGGGGGCTGAGAGCCCAAGGAGGGGCTTTGGGGACAGACAGAGGCTGCCCCACACATACACCTCTTAGGGCCCCTTAGGCCCCAACTCAGGGAGGGCCTCCTCCCAGTGGTGACAGCTGCCGCCAGCTGGGGGTTGGGGGGGGGGGGGGGGTGGATGGGATAGTGTAGCCCTGTCGGGAGTTGCAAGGAAGGGAGGGGTCCAGGTCGTTCAGCCCCCTTACCAGGAGGAGGCCAGGGTTTTCAGAATGGGGGTGTGGGGAGCCAGATCCCTGCCTCTGGGGCAACTTGAGCCGTGAGTCTCATCTACTCCCCCCTGCCCCCCCCTCACCCATCTCATCCCATTGAAGTGAGGGGTAAGGAAGGGAGAGATGATGAACGCATGAGACGGACGGGGAGTCCCAGAAGTCTCAGGATGGGAAGAAGGAGGGCAAGATGCCCGTTTCGCCTTTTCTTCCCCTCTCCCTGGTAACACCCCGGGGCAAAGGGGGCAAAGTCAGGTTTCTGGTTAGCTGTCTGGACGAACTCCCTTTGTTGTGGCGGGAGTCGGGGCGGGGGTGGCTCCTGGATAAATGAGCCGCGGGCTCCCTCCCAGCCCTCCCAGCAGAAGCTGACAGACTGAGGCTGCCCTCCATTGAGCTGGGACTGGATTCGGGGACCTGTAGACTCAGCCAAGGCCACACTGGGGCCAAGGACTGGAGGCTGCACTCAACCAGGAATTCTTAACCTCACGAGCCTGGGGAAAGCCATGGCTTACTGCTCTGTCCCCACAAAATGACACACACAGCGCTTGTCATACAGTGTCGGGGTACAGCACCCCTAGACTGGGTGACAGCCTGGTCCCCTCCAGCGCTGCCCTTCTAGGAGCCAGAGAAGCCCTCCTCCGGCTCCACCCTAAGTGCTTCCTGCCGCTGCAGACAAACAGACCACAGTCTCATGAGTCTGATGCACAGCCAGGTCTTGGGAGGCCTGGCAGGAGAGGAATCTTCTAGGGGTGGGAGCCCTGGCCAGGCCTGACTGCCATAGGGGCCCCTGGGGCCCGTGCACACATGTGGTGAGCTGTGATGTTGGCCGGACAGGGCTGGGATCCCAAGCAGGGGGCTCGGGGTCAGGATGCACGCAATCAGCGCCTTAGACACCCGGGGAGGTGCGGAACCAGAGCGTGGGCATGGAAGTGGCAGGGAGAGCAGGGTCAGGGCTGGTGGGGGACTAGGAATGTCCCCTTGCTGAGCAGGGCAGGGTAGGTTCTGTCCATTTGCCAAGATCAGCCCTGGAGCCGAGTTGGAGGTCTTGTCCCTTGGCACTCGAACATTCAATATCTCTCCTAAGTAGTTCCTCCTCTAGACTCTGGGCGCTCCATATGCCTGGCTTCTATTTGGGGTGCCTCCTTCTCCAGGCTGCATGGGGGGGAGCGGGGGGCGGGAGCGGAGGTGGGCTCGGCAGCCCCGGGTTAGTGCCCTGGGATACAGTTTGCCCTCCTCTTCCAGCTGTCCTCTGACACCAGCCCAGCCGCCTCACAGAGTAGCCATGAGAGCAGCCTACCTCTTCCTGCTATTCCTGCCTGGTGAGTGGCTCCTGGCGATGGGGCCCCTCTTCTGTGGGTGAGCATGAGGTTTGCAGGGGAGGGGGATGGCAGTGAGTCTTTGCTGTGCCCTGTCGCCAGAACTCAGCTCCCTGGGTCCCAGGGCCTCCTGCCTCATGGACCTCAGACTGGACTGGCCAACCCCTCCCAAAGTCTGAGGCATTTCCTGGGCCCTTACCCCAGCCGCCCAAGCGGCAGGCAAGGGGGATTCTGGAAAGTGGGCACACATCCTGGCACCCCGAGTCCATGCCTTTCCTCTTACTTCCTGACCCTCCCAGAAGCTGATGTGTAGGAGTTGGGGGTACCCAAGACAGGGAGTCTAGACCCATTTGGGGCTCAACCCCCTATACCAGTGGTCAGCAAACTGCGATTCGCGAGTCACATGCTGCTCTTTGGCCCCTTGAGTGTGGCCATGAAGTTTCAATTGCACTGTACGTGCGCGCCCACACGTGGTATTTTGTGGAAGAGCCACACTCAAGGGGCCGCAGTTTGCCGACCACTGTCCTATACAATCTTGACCTTAGAGGGGTCCCTGTTGGTCAAGTGAGAAGTTATCAATGGGACTGAAATGGCCCTGCCTGGTCCATCATGCATTCATTTAACAGATATTTGTTGAGCTCCTACTATGTGCCAGGCACTGGGCTAGGCCCTGGGGATGCAGCGATGAACCAGGCAGACAAGTGCCTGCCCTCATGGTGCTGCCAGTCTAGGGAAGGGAGGGCTATGTTATCAAGTAGATAAATGTCAGATTGTACTGAATGCTATGATAGAAATAAGCAAGAGGATGAGATAGAGAGGGTGGGTGAGCCAGCGAGAGCCTCTTAGCAGAGCTGAAATTTTATTTAAGACCTAAAGGAGAAGGTGACCAGGATCACAGGCCTGGGAGAGTCAGGTGCAAAGGCCCTGGGACAGGCAGGAGGTGCTGAGTGCCAGGAGCAGCCATGAGGCCAGCATGGGGGAGATGAGTAGGATGAGATCAATGAGGTGACACAGGACCAGGGAGTGTAAGGGCCATAATGGTTGAGGAAGGAGTTTGGATCCTGTAGATCTAAGAGTCTGGTAAACTGCGGCTCACGAGCCACATGTGGCTCTTTGGCCCCTTGAGTGTGGCCACGAAGTTTCAATCGCACTGTACGTGCGCGCCCACACGTGGTATTTTGTAGAAGAGCCACACTCAAGGGGCCGCAGTTTGCCAACCACTGCCCTATACAATCTTGACCTTAGAGGGGTTCCTATTGGTCAAGTGAGAAGTTATCAATGGGACTGAAAAGGCCCTGCCTGGTCCATCATGCATTCATTTAACAGATATTTGTTGAGCTCCTACTATGTGCCAGGCACTGGGCTAGGCCCTGGGGATGCAGCGATGAACCAGGCAGACAAGTGCCTGCCCTCATGGTGCTGCCAGTCTAGGGAAGGGAGGGCTATGTTACCAAGTAGATAAATGTCAGATTGTACTGAGTGCTATGATAGAAATAAGCAGGCGGATGAGATAGAGAGGATGGGTCGGCCAGCGAGAGCCTCTTAGCAGAGCTGAAATTTTATTTAAGACCTAAAGGAGAAGGTGACCAGGATCACAGGCCTGGGAGAGTCAGGTGCAAAGGCCCTGGGGCAGGCAGGAGGTGCTGAGTGCTAGGAGCAGCCATGAGGCCAGCATGGGGGAGATGAGCAGGATGAGGTCAATGAGGTGACACAGGACCAGGGAGTGTAAGGGCCATAATGGTTGAGGAAGGAGTTTGGATCCTGTAGATCTAAGAGTCTGGTTGTAGGATCTTAGGGTCTCTTTTACATGCCTGTCTGACCTCCCCAGAAGTGTCTCAGGGCCCTTGCTGTCCCCATGGGGCACCCCCTCATGCTTTCCCTCCCCACGGCAGGCCTGCTGGCTCAGGGGCAATATGACCTGGACCCACTGCCGCCATTCCCAGACCACGTCCAGTACACCCATTACGGTGACCAGATCGGTAAGGCCTTGCCCGTGCCCCCAGCCCTGCCATGTCATCAAGCTCAGCCAGGGACCTGGTGGGGGGAGGGGGAGGTCCCTGGCTCAGTGGTGACCTCCTTTGCCCCTGGGGCTGGGAGATAGCCTGACCCCCACCAATTTTCATTCATCTGTTTTCAGACAACCCGGACTACTATGATTACCAAGGTAAAGGGTAGGGGCTGGACAGGACGGGTGGGCATCTGGGTGGGCCTGCTCCCCGCCCCCTTTATCATGTCCTGTTGCAGAGGCCACTCCTCGGCCCTCTGAGGAGCAGTTCCAGTTCCAGTCTCAGCAGCAAGTCCAGCAGGAAGTCATCCCGGCGCCCACCTTCGGTAGGCGGCACCCTTGGGAGTGGGGGTCTGTGTGTGTGTGTGTGTGGGGGGGGGGAGCGGTGACCTCTCTCAATGATCTCTGCCTGCCCCTCTCCCAACACCAGAGCCAGGAAACGAGGAGACGGAGCCCACAGAGCCAGGGCCTCTGGGTAAGAGCTCTCTTGTCCCCTGGAGTTGGGGGAAGTGGGGTGGGGCGCTGGTAGAACGGAGACTGCCAGGCCTTGTGCTCTTGCCCAGGTAGGTGGGGGGTAGGAGGCCTGCTTTAGGCGGCCCCCCTAGGCAGCTCTGGGCAGTCCCCCAGCCCCCTGGGCCTGGCCTGAGGTTGAATTGGCAGCAGCCTCCGAGGGGAGCTCTGCTCCCAGGCGCTGGGGCGGGGCAGGGAGCGTGTCCCCTTCCTGCCGGCAGTAGTGCTCTGGCAGGCAGGTGACGAGGGGCAGGAAGCCAAGGCTGGCTCAGCAGGCCCCACGCTGCCCAGCCAAGAGCCCGAGAGCCAGACTGGGGGATCCCGTCTGTCATGAGCTCATTGTGCAGTGTGCTCCTGTGGGTGGGTGTGGACTTCTGTGACCGTGTGTTGGGTATGGATTTGTGTCTGACTTTATGTGTGAATATATGCTTCTTCAGTGTGGGTGCAAATCTGTACACCGGAGTCCGTATGTATAAAGACACTGTATAAAACTGGGCGGCCTCAGGTCCAACACTGTGTGTGCATGTGTTGGGCGTGTGTGTGTGTGTGTGTCTGGGCCAGAGATCGCAGGGCGTACCTAGACTCTGAGATGAGAGCCAGTCTCTGGTGGGCAAAGTTGGGGGCTCCTCCCCCCAGTTCTGGGCCCTCAGCTGCAGCCCCCCAGTCTGATCCCACCTGTCACCCAGACTGCCGCGAGGAGCAGTACCCGTGCACCCGCCTCTACTCCATACACAAGCCCTGCAAACAGTGTCTGAACGAGGTCTGCTTCTATAGGTGAGCACAGGCCGGGCGAGGGGGAGGGAGCAAAAGGGGCGGCTCATGCCAGCCCCCGTGAAATTCGGGGAAAGATAATGAATCCTGGAGTTGATTGGGGATTGAGCCCTGGCCTGGGGGCCGGGACTCCCGGGCTCCTATACCAGGCCCTGCCCAGACTCTCCCAGCGGGGCTGGGCCAGGGTGGGGCTGACACCTCCCTGGCCTCCTCCCCCAGCCTCCGCCGAATGTACGTCATCAACAGGGAGATCTGTGTCCGCACAGTCTGCGCCCACGAGGAGCTGCTCCGAGGTAGGCAGCCTCCGCCCCCGACCTCTGACCTCTCCCCGCTCCGGCTCCCTCGTTCTCCATCCACCTGTCCACCACCTGATGTTTATTAAACACGTGCTTTGTGAGGGGGGCCACTTCCAGGGGATCCTGAACTCAGAGTGGGGAGCAGTTCCCATCACCCAGACCCACCCTGACCCCCATTCCTTTCTGCCCCCCAACAGCTGACCTGTGTCGGGACAAGTTCTCCAAATGTGGGGTGATGGCCAGCAGCGGCCTGTGCCAATCCGTGGCGGCCTCCTGTGCTCGCAGCTGCGGGGGCTGCTAGGGTGCAGCCGGCACCCGAGCCCCGGCCCCTCCTCAGATCCGGGGCCCTCGGGCCCTGCCTGACCTGGTGCTTTCCTTCCCGCCTGACATTCCTTTTATTCTGTCAAAAGTTAGTGGACTGCGGCCCAGGGGGTTGTCTCAGGCCCCTCCCCAGGCTGTGACCACCCCAGAGGCACAATGGGGCTCCCCACTGCCCAGTCTTTACCCCCAGGTGGGGGGCATCCGGGCCTCAGTGGGACTGGGCCTCCCAAGTGCCTTCTCCACCCCTGAGGTAGGCTGTGCCCCTCCCCCCAGCTGGTCTGCTTGGATTTCCTACAGCCCCTGGGCCTAGACCACCTGTTTTATACAAAATTAAAAACAAATTTTTACAAAAGATTCAGTCATTTTTCAGAGAACACAAGGCGGGTGGTGGCCAGGTGCCGCCCTGGTCTCGTTATAGAAAACGCTGAGGCTACCTGGCCTCTTGAGAAGGGACCGTCCAGCGACCTCAGCTTTGCCCCTGCTGTCCCAGTCCTGCCTCCCCTCTCACCGGCATCAGCTCTGACCCGCCAGAAAGATGGCAAGGCAGCTGCCCCCAGGTGACAGCGTAGATAGAAGGTTCAGGAACACAGCTTTCTTGTTGTCAGGGCCCGAGTCCCCCGTCAGAGGGTGCCAGCCCAGGCCAGAGGCGCCAGGACGGAAGCATAAGGGTGTGGATAGGGTGTAGGGCAGGAGGTCAAGGTAGGTGGGCGCTGAGATCAAGGGCTGTGGGAGGAGCAGTTCAGGGCAGAAACAGGGCAAGCCAGTATGCCTCCCTCCGACAGCCTGTGGGGCAGGTTCCCATTCACAGGTGAGCGAGCCGAGCTCTGACAGGTTAAGCGCCTTTGCCCAAACTCACTCAGCTGAGCCAGGACCCCACATCCACCCCCAGGCCTGCATTTGTTCACCACGCAGCCTGCAAGGCCCATCAGTATCCAGAGGGTGGGCCTCACCCGGGAGGGGCCGAGGATGGGATGAGAAAGCTGGGCCTGGAGTCAGGCCGCACAGATTGGGCCACACTCCAAGCCTCAACACCCGCCTCTGTTAAATGGGACGGGCGGCACTGGGCCCGGGAGGCCTCCCACCCGGACATGCTGAGGGTGGTAGGCTCCACAGGCCTCCCGGAGCCCCTCCCGCCTGCCCAAGGCCCTACCTGTGTCCCCTCCCATCTACCAGGTGGTCGAGGCACATTGACAGTAAAAAAACACGTCGGTACAAAACCATTTTTAGAAAACAGGGTCTTGTAAAAAAACAAACAGTTCTGAACAGTTAACATTATAAAAAGGTACAAAAATACAGGGACTCTGAACTCTAAGGGATTTCCTGACAAACACTCTGCACTAAGGCAGAGAGACCCCTGGGAAGCCAGGGCAGGGCCTGGGTCTCTGACCCCTGCCCTAGGCCTGGGCACCCCTCCTGCTTCCCATGAGCCCACGCTCCAGGGGCCTGCTTCAGGGCCGGCCACCCTGGCCCTGGCTTTGGCTCAGCCCCTCAGCGAGGACCTTGTAGAGTGTGGAGTGGCTCACCCGGGGAGGGGCTGGGCTGAGGGGGGCCCATAGACGGCACGTGACTCTGATGATGCTGAGAAGCCACTGCTGGGTCGGGCCTGCACTGGAGTCCCCCACCTCCCAGAACTGCCACCTCGGCTCATCCTCACCCCATCTGAGCTCTGGTGGCCCCGACAGGCCCAGGCTCTTGAGTGGGTTGTGCTGGAGAGGAGGCCCTCTTCTGCCCTAGGTACCGGCCGGGAAAGGGCTCATTTCTCTGGGGGCCTAGAGGCGGGGGAGAAGGACGCTGAGCTCCTCCGAAGCTCCTGATGCAAATGCCCCTTCAGTGTGGACACCTGGAGAAGAGAGAGAAGGTGGAGCCTGCCCGGCCGGCCCGGGTCCTCAGCCTGATTGCAGAGAGAGGGGGTGATTGCAGCTGGGACCCCGGGAAAAAACCCTCATTTAGAACCAGGGTGTTTCCTTCCCTCCTCGTTCTGTCCCACGGTGTAGTCAGGTGTCCTCTTCCTCTGATGCTCGGCATCTCTTTGGGGCACCCCATCCCCTCATCACTCAGATGGGCCTGGCACTAGCCCGACTCGGGGTGGACCTGAGACCCAGGCCTGGCTTAGCGAACCAGCCTTGCCCTGTAGGCACGTGCCCAGGTGGCACGGTCAGTAAGGGGCTGGAATTGAAGCTGGTCAATGGTCAATGAGAAGCAGCCCTGGGACCTTTGCTGTTGCTCCACTCCCCCCACCCTCCCCAGGCCTGGGATCAAGGGTGACTGGATTGGAATAACCTGAGCGGGAGCTCCCAAGGCCACCTGCGCTCAGGGAGAGGGCCTGCCTAGAGCCAGAGCCATGGCAGGGGACTGAGTTCCAACGACAGCACTTAAGCTTGTGTTCAGCCACGGCTGACACCCACCCAACCACTTCCGTTTTGGATGCCATAGGTGGCGTATACCCCAGAGGTCACACCCAGCCCTCTCCCCCTCCACCTTCTCTTCCTTCTCCAGCATCACACGCCATGCTGCAGCCCCCAGGGAGGGGCCAGGGCCCAGTCAGGCCTGAGTACCTGCTCCTCCAGCCCACGCACCCGCTGCCGGTGGGCCCGCTCCCGCGCCTCCAGGGTGCGTTCTGTCTGCACCTGGGTACTGCGCAGGCGCTCGACCTCCTGCTGCAGCTCCAGCTGTTGCTGCTCCTCTGCCTCCAGTGCCTCCAGCTCGACTGGGCTCTGGTCCTGCTCCAGCACCACCACCTGGGCCTGCAGGAGAGGCCGCCAATCAAGAGTCTGAGCCCGTGTGTGTGTGTGTGCATGTGCGTGTGCGTGTGTGGTGTATGCACAAGGAGGTATTAGGCACCGCCCCAGGGCAGGAGCCTGAAGGCCCTTGGGGCAAAGCCAGTGCAGGCAGGGGATGAAGGAGAGATCCTTGTTTGTTCCTGACCCCCTGGCCCTCCTGGTCTGTGATGAGGGTACCTAGTGACTCCCATTCAGATACATACACACACACACACACAGATATATTCAAACACAGGCCCATATATATACAGGCACAAAAGAAAGCATGTTCACCTGGGTGTATACATATGTGCAAAAGCCTAATACTCCTACATACATGAAGACATCTGTACACAGACACGAATACAGATATAACATATTGTTAATACTCAGACTTGCCACATCTGTGCAAGATTTAAGCACCAGAATATACCCATGAACACTCATGCCTCTACATGGCCACAACACACATCAACACAGACTCGGGTGCTAACCGGCCGTCAGCATCTTTCTCTCAGCTTTGGGGGGAGCCCTCCCTCTGGGACCTCACTCTGATCCCTAGGGTCCGGGCTCAGCGTTGTGGGCTCTGAACTGGCTGAGCCATCAGCAACTCCTGACTCTGAGGCTGGGGTGGGGCAGGGGTTAGGGAGGTGGGGTGCCCAGGACTGGGTGGGCAGGGGCGGGACCTCCAGCAGCTGAATCTGCCTCTGGGCCTCGGCCAACTCCAGCTCGGCCCCCGTGAGTGTGCGGTCCAGGCGGCCCTTCTCGGCACTAAGCCGCACTGTGTCCTCGTGGCTGCGGAGCTTCTCCCGCTCTACCTAGGTGGGGAGAGCAGGAGGGGAGCAGGGTGCCGGGAAGTGGGGGGCTCCAGGAGAGTGTTAGTTAGAGGCAGAAGGACCAGGGACCCTAGTGACATGCAGCTGGACCAACCATGGCTATGCCCTAAAGGGAGTGAGGGGAGGGTCCTGTGGAGCAGCCCACCTTGTCCAGTGTCTTCTTGAGGGCCACCCGGTCCTTCTCCAGCCGCAGGGCTGACCGCTCCACCTCCCGCTTCTCAGCCTCCAGCTGAGCCAGAGCGCGCTGCAGGCTGCCCAGGCGCTCCTGCAGCCGCCGCCGCTCGTCCTGCAGCTTCTGGACCGTGTGCAGGGCCGCAGCCTCAGCCTCCTGCCGCTGCCGCAGCACCTGCAGCAGGAGCAGCAAGCCCCTCATTCCTCTGGGCCTCAGTGAGTGCGTCTGAAGCCCGGGGAGGGCAATGCCAGCCTGCCATGCCCACTAACTCGGCAGGGCGGCTGTGAGGCCTGCACCAGGAAACTGTCTCCGGTATCTACCACAACCCTGGAATTTCTGTGTTCTTGACTTTGGTGGGGGATTATGCAGGGCTAGCAGAATTACTGAACAGTCTGGTTAGAGATGAGCTTCCTGGCAGCCAGGGCAAAATAGGAAATGAGTGAAATCTACTTCTCCAACTTCTCCAGCATGCTTGGACAGCTCTCCTCTCGGGCCTCAGTTTCTCCATCTCTATAATGGGGGTACCATGCTTCATCCCTGGCTTGTGGATTATGGGGGTTCCTCCTCCCAGGGGACTGGGCCTGGGTTTGGGATGAGGTTAAGATAGGTGGGAAGGTCCCCACCTCATCCTGAGGGCCTCAGCATCCTGGTGACAGAAGGGGTCCCCCCTGGCCCTCACCTCCCGCAGCTGTTGCAGCTGGCCCTCAGCCTCCGCCCGCTGCAGCTCCAGGTCCGCCATCTCGCCCCGCATCGTCTGCACCTGCTCAGCTAGGGCGCTGCTTTGCTTCCGGGCCTCGGATAGTGCCTGCCGAGCAGCCTCCAGCCGTTCCTGGGGGGCAGGGGCTGATGGTGCCAGGCTGGGCACACCCTCTACTCGGTATCTTAGGCCAGTTTCACAGCCCATTTTATGCTGGAGGGTGAGCCAGACAGCGGGACTGGCCCACAGCCTATACTGAGCTATAGAAGACCAGGACCCTCCCAGAACCCATCTGTCTCGCCCACTAACCCTGCACCTAGTCCCTCAAAGCGGGTGCTAGTCGGCTGTTCTCTTATTGGCCCCCCCACCGCCCAGCAGAGCCTCCTCTTACTGACTGATGCTCTTATTAAGCCCACCCCTCCCTCTCATTGATTGGCTCCTTAAGGTTCCCAACTGACTGCCTCATTGGCTGGCTCTCTACCAGACCCCTCCAAGCCTGTCTATTGGCTAACTAACTCTCTTGCTGGGCCCATCCCAGCCAGACCCTGGAATCCGTCTGTACCTGGAGCACTTGGCGGTCATGTTCACAGGCCGTCAGGGACTTCTGCAGTTGCAGATTCTTGTCCTGGGTGCTGCTGAGGCTGGCGCTGTTCTGGGCCAGGGCCTCCGACAGGCCCTTCACCTTGTCACGCAGGGCCCCCTCGCTCTCCTCCACCTTGGCCAGGGCCCCGTTCAGCCGTTCCACTGTCAGCTGCAGGGTCCCTGCCTTCACCTCACTGTCTGCCACCTGGCAGGAGCGACAGGGTGGTGAGATGGCTGTTCTCACTGTGGCCTCCACAAGAAAGGTCCCACCCAAGCCAAACCCTTCCTCTCTCTCTAGGCCTTCATCACTGATGCTCATTGTTCCCATGCACGCCTACTGGCTCAGCCTACTCGCACCGAGGCCCGTCCCACGCTGGTCAACTACCCCCACCCACAGCACCATCAACCCGATTGTCTCAGACGCCATGGTCTCCTCTCTGTTCTCATCCCCCTCTCCTCTCTGCTAACGAGAATGAACAGTATCTACCACAACCCTGGAATTTCTGTGTTCTTGACTTTGGTGGGGGATTGTGCAGGGCTAGCGGAATTACTGAACAGTCCGGTTAGAGGTGAGCTTCCTGGCAGCCAGGGCAAAATAGGAAATGAGTGAAGTCTACTTCTCCAACTTCTCCAGCATGCTTCCCATGAGTGCAGATTCTGCCATCAACCAGTCCTAAATTCTAATGTGGGCTCTGCCTCTTATTAGCTACGTGATCTTGGGCGATGACATCACCTCCTGAGCCTCCATTCATCCATCCATGAAACAGGGATGATACTATCTCACTGGGCCGCTGGGAGGATTACATAGTCCCTGTATAGCACTTGGCACTGGGCCTGCGAGGGGGGGGAGGGGACCCACCTGTCTCTGCAGGGAGTCCACCCGCTCCTGGAGGGCCTGGGCCTGGGCCTCCCGGTCGCTCAGGCCCAGGCGGCTGCGCTGCAGCTCCCCCTCGAGCGAGCGCCGCTGCAGCTCAAGCTTGATGGTGCGGCTCTCAGAGGCGTCCAGCACCTCCTTCAGGCGCCGCTTGTCACTCTCCAGCTTCACCTCATTGGCCTTCATCTTGCTGATCTTCTCCTGTGGGTGGGGGAGGGCTCAGGCCGCAGCTGTCCAGCCCACCCCACCCCTGCCGCATCCCTCAGGACCCCCTGGAGAAAGTGGGGAGCAGCCCAGAAGCTGCCTATGACCTGAGTTGAGTCGGGCAGGAGCCCTGGGCCCCCGCAGGTTTTAGGGTATGATGCTCCTCCCACAAGTGAGTTCAGACTGTGAAGGAGACTTGGGGAGTGGGGACAGGTCAGGAAGACAGACTGGGGTCCTTCCATCCCTGTCACCGTCCTGGAGACAGGGCAGGTCAAGGGGGTGTTCTTACAACCACCCCCCACCCCAAACCTCCCCCCCGCCAGGCCTGGCCCCTCTCCCGCCCTGCTCAGAGCCCCAACCCTGCCAGCTCTACACCCGGCAGCCCCACGCTGGCTCCTGCCCAGCTTTGTTCCTGGCCTCCTCCCGCGGCCCCTGTGGCTGGGCCCAAGGCCAGCGCTGGAGCCGCAGACACAACAACCCAGCTCAAGCTGGGCCTAGAGCCAGAGGCAGAGGGTGGGCTGCGGGGGCAGAAATGGAGGGCCGGGGAGGAAAGGGGGGAGGAAGAAACAGAGGGGATCCAGATCCATGGCTGTGCGAAGATCTCAAGCCACATACAGATGCCCAGCAAACACATAAAACCCCCAGAACACCACTCATGTGGCTCTACAGAGACGAAGGGAACCGAGGTCCCGAGTACTGTCACTTCAATGGGTGCTGAGACCAGGCAGAAACAGAGATGCATGCACACAGTAGGACTTACAAACACCTATTCAGACAGCAGATCCTCCCCTCATCCCACTGGCCCTCAGCCCTGCCTACCTGGCTGGCCCGGAGCTCACTCTCAGTGGCCTGCAGGCTCCTCTCCAGGGCGGCCACCTGGTCGAGGGCAGCCCGGCGCTCCCGCTCGCTGCGTCGCACACTGTCCTCCTGCAGCGCCAGCTCCGCCTGGGCCCCGCTCAGCCGCCCATCCACGCTGCGCCGAGCTGTGGCCCCCACCCCAGGGGTGAGGCCTGGCCAGGCACAGCCCAGATGCCTGACCCAGGCCCCAAAATACCTGGCCTGCCCTCCACTCACCATGGGACCTGCCTCTCTGAGTCCTTGAGGGTCTGTAAGTCTGAACATGGGGTGGGCCTGATCAAGGAGGGTCCCCCAGAAATGACGGCCCCCAACTGTCATTTAGGGTGTGATGCTCCTGGTCACAGTGGCCAGGGCAGGGATGCAGGAGCCGCTCAGGGCAATCCCACAGCCTTCCAGCCCCGCTGCTGAGAGCACACGAGAGCAAAGCAAAGGCCTGGGTCGGGGTCAGACGCACCTTCCTCACTCTGGGCCACAGCCTTCTGCAGCCGCCTTGCCCTCGAGGTTGCGCTGTCCCTCTCGGCCTCCATCTCCACCAGCTGGCGACTCAGGGCACTGGTCTGGGCCCGAAACTCATCCTGCAGTCCCCAGGTCAGGGGAAGGGGAAGACCCTGCTCTGGCAACCTGCAGCCCCTCCCAGGTCTCAGCCACCCGTTCCCTACCCGGCCCCTCACACCAGCCTCACCCGTTCTCTCTGGGTGCTCCGCAGCTCCTGCAGGAAATCCCGGAGGGCCCCCCGCACGGCCTCTGGGTCCAGGTCTGGAGACGTCGGGGAGGTAGCAGGTCCTGGGGACGGTGGCTCAGATCCAGGGCTACGTTCCAAGGGGCTGGGGCTGCTGGGCCCGTCCCCACTTCCTGGAGGAGGAGACCTGCTCAGGGATGCAGGAGCCATGGCCTCTCCTGCCGGGATGGTGCCTGCAGGCTCTCGACACATCTCCCCCAACCCTGCTATGCCCAGCAGCCTACGCGAGCCCATAGCACAAACCGGGTCCCCTCACCCTCCCGTCACCCTTCACCAGCCCTCAGTTCAGCCCATCCTCCATGCCATCACTTAGAGGCCCTGCTGCTCACCCCCAGAATGAGCCTCTCACCCTTTACAAGCTGGCCACTCCCCATCACCCTCAGCTCCATGTTCCAGAATATTCCCTCTTCCAGCACTAGGGCCTTCGTACATGCTGTTCCCTTCTCTCCCCACTACTGTGTTGGGGTGAATTCATCCCACCTCCGTGGGGCTCCAATGCCTGCTCCCACCCAAACCATGACGCCTGGACGGCTATGTCCCCAGGGCCCAGCCCGTGTGGACACTCCATCACCTCGACATCTCCCTGTACTGAGTGCGGGCACTGGGCCAAAGCTTTCCCTACGTCACCTCCTTCCATCCTCACAGGAATTCCCTGAGAGGTGAGGACCAATTTCCCCCTTCACAGGCGGGGCGGGCTCAAAGCTGTTAACTGATTTGCTTGGTCTCAAAGCTGGGAAGAGGATGGGCAACAGAACCGGGAGGGGCAGAATGAACAGAGACAGGACGGCACCTAGAGGTCAACATCGGAACTGCAGGATGGGCTCCAGCCTGTTAGCATCCTCCAGCCTCTGCCACGGGACACCCAAATTGCCCCACATTTACCCACTGTGGGAGGAAGGGGGGTGGAGCATTTGGGTGGTTCTCCGCCAGGAGTCCGGGACCAGCCGAGGGGGTGGGTTTTGAGACTGGTAATCAAAGGAGGATTGGGCCCAGCCTAGGGCAGGGTCTTCAGCAGAACAGACCTAATCGTGGGGGGCGGGGACTCCTCAAGGCCCGCCTCTCGCTCTCCCCTCCCACCCGGCTCTGGCGCTCCGCTCACCTCGGGTGGGTGGGCTGCGGGCTGGGGAGCCAAGCGC